AAACCACCAAGCACAGAGAGCACCAAGGAGCCCACAAATAAATAGTAAGGCCTATCCAGAGGCCCCCAGTCTTTCCGCGTGAAGATTGGTGCTTCGCCCCTGCTGGGCTGCTTTCAGGGGACCAGCCAGGCTTCGATTAGGGGGCAGGATGGGGGGAGCAGATGAGCATCCTTGCCCACATTCTGACTGGGTGAGGTGAACCAGCTGGAGCTGCCCTGGCTTTGTTTCACACCAGCCGCTCTGCACATTACACAAAGGGAAAGAGGTCCAGCCTCAGTTTCAGCCCATGTGACTGCTGCAGCCGTGCCCACCCACTGGCCACTGGCCACCTGACCAGTCAGGCTGGGCTACAGCAAGCATGAAGGAATCGCCGAGTTTGCGATAGTCCATGTTGGTTGGGATGCCAATCCTCGGCCTCAGGGCAGCAGAGGGGACAGGAAGGCAGAAGGGCCTCTGAGTCTGTGCAGACTGCCTTTGTGGCACCCAGCCAAGGGCCTCCTGGGACTCCTCCAGGGAGGGAGCCGGTGTGCCTTTGAAAACCAGCCTCAGTAGGGAGTTGCCATCTCTCTCCTGATCTCTGGATTGCCCACGTCAGGATCAAACTGAGCAGAGACCGAGACTGGCTTCCAACTTAAAACAGCTAAACTCCTTACAATCCGCCTTAAGCACATCTTGCAGGGCGGGGGGGGGGGGAGGGAGAGGGAGGGAGAGAGACAGGTTTGTTCTACTGAAGCCGAAACCGAAGCCGTTCAAGGAGAGTCCAGTCCTCAGCAACTGACGCTTTGAATTGGCTTGCCTGCCCCCCCCCTCAGTAGCTGCAGCTCTCCCCCAGGAACTGACGGGGGAGGGGGGCTAAGGGGTGGGGAGATGCAGGGGAACCTTTGTGTGCCTTCCATCAGCCCCAGATGTTCCACAGAGGTCACGGCTGAAAAGGAGGTTGGATGTGCGCTTGAGATGCTTCCGCTGTTAAGGCTCAGAACTAATTTTTAAAACTGGCTGCTGGGGGGAGGCTGTGGGCACTGGATCTTGACCTTACCTGTCCTGCCCTCTGCCACGGAGCCAGTTTTCCGAGGTCTGTGGGAGCAGAACTGAAGCCTGGGGGGGGGGGCTGGCCCAGTCCATGGATCAGGAGGCGGGTCAGGGCGTGATGATCCGCCCTGGGGCGGGGGTGGCAGCAGGAGCACCCGAGGCTGCTTTTGGCGGTGATGATGATCAGGAGCAGGAGGAGGGTTCCTACCTGTTGCAGCCGGATTCCGGCCGCTTCCGCCAGGGGGTCCAGGGCAGAGCGCACCCAGGGGAAGAGCCAGCTCAGCCTTGCTGTCTTCCAGATGATCGTTTGCTTCGGCTTTGCCTTCCTGGTTCGGCGCTTTGTGGGTTTCGCCATGGTGGCTCTGCTGGTGGAGATCAACTCCGTCTTCCTGCACCTCCGGAAGATCCTGCAGATGGCTGGCTTGGCCAACACCGCCTCCTTCCGCCTCACCAGCCTGGTCAACCTTGGCACCTACCTGGTGTTCCGTATCCTGATCTTGGCCTGGATGAGCCGTTGGCTGGCCCTGAACTGGGAGAACGTCCCAGCAGTGCCCTGTGCCATGGGCACGGTGGGCATGGCCATCATGCTGCCCATCAACGTTGTCCTCTTCTACCGTCTGCTACGCAGCGACTTATTCCCGTCTCACAAGAAGTAGCAGCTCCCGGCCAAGCGCCAGGGGGAGGGAGAAGGAGCCGGAGCAAGGCAGACAGCACCCACGCAGGCAGGAGGAAGGGGTTTCCCCAGCTGCTCAGGAGGCACCCCCCCCCCGGCTGCCCAGCGATGCAGAGTTGGGAGCAGGGCCAGCCTTTCTGGAGAGCCCCGTGGAACAGTGTCATGGTGCTGTTTGGCGGGAGGGCCGGGAGTGATGGTCACACAGCAAGGTGGGCTTCGCTTTGCCCTCCCTGAGGGAGGGGCCTTATTGAAATGACTTCGCCCTGTGCATCTGTGTTCTGACATTTACTTCTGCTACACTTCCCCATACAAGGTGAGCCTCCTGGGAACAGGTGCTCTTAGCCCCACCCCTTCCCTTCCACCCCCCCGCCCCGTGGCAATAGCCGGGAGGCTGCTGGGCCGTGGAAGGGTATGGCAGGGAGACTGTCTCACCTTCCCCACCCTGATGCCTACGGCGGACTCTCTCTGGAGAATAGCACTTCTTAAGGAACCTCCCCGGGAGTCACTACCTTCAGTTCGGGGTTTGATTCCTCTGTAGGTAAATTTCACCAGCACTGGTACAAAAGAGACTGGAACAGACTTGGGAATCGTGGGAATGAAAAAGAAGCAAGGATGGATCACTATCTCTGGAGTTTTGCTGGGATTATCACTGTCACACAGCGATTCACCCTCTCTTCCCTCCCAAGAGTCACAAACAGGTCCTGCAGCTCTTCCGCTGAGCCGAGGAAGGCAGCATCCCAAGGCCATTCAGGCACGTTTGCTGCCGTCAGCAACAGAGCCGAGGCTATTTTCCCACACCCGTTTCTGGGACTGCCACCCTGATGCCACCTGTCAGTGCCTTTAGCCCACTAAGTGCCAAGTAATTGTCTCTAAACCTGGGATTACAAAGCAGTTATCTGATTTTGTGTGTGTGTAACAAGATGTTACAAGATGTGTGTGCAGACAGTAATAAAGAAACTTTAGTGATTGCTAATTGTTTGGCCCTGCTTGGCAGGCAGGCAGGCAGAGCCTCTGCAGTTTGTGGAGGGGAAGTCTTTGATCCCGAAAGCCAGCAGCCTGAAGGCAAAGCGGCTGCCCAGGGTGGGAACAGCCCCCTCCGTCCCTATGAAGAGAAGTGGGGATACGCAAGGATGATGCAACTCCCAAAGGAGAGGAGGCCATAGGGGTACCCGGATACGTCCTCACTACGCTCTGCAGGGAGAAAACCGAACCTCCCCCGTCCATGCACTCATTCAGGCAGATGGGGCTGCGCCTGCAAGCAACCCTCCAGCGCAGGAGCAGCCAAGGAGCGCAGGGTCCGACCACATGACGTCCAGGGAGGGTCTCTCTCCCCCGGGTCACGGGGGTCCCCAGGGCGCTTTTTCCAAAGGGCAGCTGGACTTTCTGGGTTTCCTTGAAGACGTTTCGCTTCTCATCCAAGGAGCTTCTTCAGCTCTGACTGGGACGGTGGAGAACGGAATCGAAGAACCGAGGAAGCTCCTTGGATGGGAAGCGAAACGTCTTCAAGGAATAGCCCACGAAGTCCAGCTGCCTTTTGGAAAAAGCGCCTTCGGGGCAACTGAGCCTTCGCCTCCCTTTACGGGGACCGCCAGATAAAACGTTTTGCACGGGGACCGGGGCTGCTCTTCTGGCCGACGGACGGGACGGGCCTCCGCCTCTCTGGGCCCGGTGTCTCCGGCGGAGGAGGAGGAGGTTCCCCGACCCAGAGACCGGCCGCCCGGCAAAGGCCGGCGGGGCCGAAGGGGCGACGAGACGTTTCAGCCTCGGCAGCGGCGCTTCCCTCCGGGCCTCGAGCGATGCGCCTCTTCCCTCCGGGCCGATAAACGGGCCGAACCGGCTGCCGTGTCGCCTCCCCCGCGCGGTGTGCGGATCCGGGAGGCGGAGAGGGGTCCCCGGTGCTCGGTCGCCGCTCGTGGGAGTCCGGCCCCGGGGCGGGGTGTCCCTCCAGGAGAGCCCCGGGCCTGCTCGGGACGAGGCCGCCGGGCCGCCACGAGGAGCCTCGTCAACCCCCCCGGACGGTCCCGCGCGGGGAGCCCAGGGCCCGGAAGGAGGGGGGGGCGGGAGCGAGTGGGGGGAGGCTAACGGGCCCGCGAACCAACACTTCCCCCCCC